TTCCACCTTTTCCCAAAACAGGAGAATAAGCATAAGCGCACCAGCGTGCCTACTGTCCCTATCTTAATGTTTTCTTTTATTCGTATCCTTTTCATATATTTATAATTAAATTTACACTTGTATCTGTCATAAAATACATGTTTGACAAAAATAATAAATAAATAAATAAATAATAAAAGATAAAAGATAAAAAAATAAAATTTTTGTGGGTATTTGACTCAAATGAAGAGGTAGAAAAGGTATCAGGGTCTCCTTAAAGATGGAATGTAGGGAGGTTAATTTATGACAGCATTAAGAAGCTTGTTTAGGCAGTAATTGACAGTGATGATGTGGAGAAGTAAATGCAAGTAATGAAAAAAAAATCATTTCCAGGATTACTTTCTCCTTTCTTTTATTTAAATAACCCTATTTAATTTAAAATTATGGAGATGGAGGCCAACCTTTTTATTGATTGCTTATAGTTTGGTCATATAAATAGTCTTCAAATTACAATTGGTTGTTAATGACCATTCAAAGTAACGATGGACCCCCTAAATCTATTTATCATCCACTTTCGTAGTTATGACGTCCCTCGCCCCTCCACATACACACTATTCTCACATAATTGCATTTTGGCCACTTGGCAACCAGCTCACCTTTATGGGTGTTTGCAATGTCCTGTGGTCATCTGACTACAATTTTTGATGATTTTTTTTTTTTTTTTTTTTTTTTTTGCTGGTTTCTAGCATTTACTTCTGGTTCCTGGCAAAAACCACCCATTGAGCAAAATGAGTTCATTTATAGACTGTGGCATTCACTTAATGACCATCATAAAAAATGGCAAAATCAGGTCTGTTCGGTGACCCATTTAACAACTGCAATGACATGGCTGTCATTCTGGGCTCATTAAGTAGAGTGCTTAATATACGCTACCTGTACAATACCATTAAGTACAATATCTGTATACAGACAATTATGGACTGAACCAAAAAAACAAATATATGAAGAAATTTGAGTAGGTTTTAAGGGCGAGGTACAGTCAGAATCTGAGTGGAACAGTTTATGTGAAATTGTGGGCGTTTCATTGGAGGTTTTTAAAAAGAGACTGGACAGTCACTTGTCTGGAATGGTATAGGATCTCCTGCTGGAGCAAGGGGTTGGACTACAAGACCCCCAAGTTCCCTTCCAGCTCTGTTCTGATTGATTGATTCAGGTCCCGAAAGAGAGCGAAATGGAGATGAAAATAGGGGTGGGCTGCTGGGGGTTCGCAGGGGTTCGGGAGAACCTCTAGCTAAGGTTCTGTGCAGTTTGGAGAACCCCCAAATCCCACTCCTGGCTGGCCCTGCCCATCCCGCCCCGCCCCTCCCAGGAGTCCCCACACGGCCTGTTTTGGATGCAGGTAAGTGCAAGGCGCGCGCAAAGGCTTGGGGAGGATTAAAAATGGGCCTACTGGAAGTTCAGGAAGGCCAGAAATGGACCTGTTTCCAGCCTCCAGAGGGCCTCCAGAGCCAGGGGAGGCTATTTTCACCCTCCCAGAGACTCAAGGAAAGCCTCTGGAGTCCAGGGAGAGCAAAAATGCCCCCCACACACACCCCGCTGTGGTGCAAGAGGCCGACTAGGCCATGCCCACCATAGCCATGCCCACCCAGCAATCGGGCAGAGAATCCCTTGCTAAAATTTTTGAAGCCCACCCCTGGATGAGAAGTTTAAAGAAGAAAAACAATTATAGGGCATGATACAGATGTTGTGAAGGCAGAGTTAGTTTGCAAGGAATAGGACAGTATAGTGAGTTGGTACAAACTAGATTTAGTTAGATTGCCTTTTTCTTTGCTGTTACCTCATTGATTCCCAATTTCTTTGCTTCTTACTTCTTACTCTTTTCTTTGCACAGCAATTACTCTCAAAAGGAATAACATGACTAATATGTAAGCCTATGTGGAGTATTCCACTGAGACAGGAATAACTCTTGCAACATTATAAGAGCTGTATTTGTAAAATCTCCTTTGAAAAAATCTTCCTACTCTTCCAGCTCATAGTTTCTACTGTCTTGAAATGACATTTTCAAGTTTGGTAAATCAATTTCTGTTATTACAAATGCTCCTCTCTCAAAAGATATGATTAACGAAGGGAAGGAAAGAAGGGAGGGAGGGAGGGAGGGAGGAAGGGAGGGAGGGAGGGAAGGAAGGAAGGAAGGAAGGAAGGAAGGAAGGAAGGAAGGAAGGAAGGAAGGAAGGAAGGAAGGAAGGAAGGAAGGATTTCCAATGCTCCCTGCCAGCTTCCCACTAGGAAACTCCATGAGTAGGCTGAGAGGAAGTCAAAAATCTCTCCTGCTCCCACTGCTTTTTTTGCCTACTCATGAACATTCTGGTTCTCTGTTCAGGTAAGAACATATCTCTGAAACGATGACCCAGCTCCTCAATTACAAACTTATCACCTCTGAATTAGTTATGGCTTGTTTCTGAATCAGCATTCAAAAATTGTGCTGAACAGTCTGGCTGCAATATGATGCCTTTAACACTTACACAACAGGCAACAGTTGAAGGTGTCCCATCATTCTATGAAGGACAACAGGAGGTAAGTGTTGTATTTCTGCTTGTTCTCTGTGTGTGTGTGTGTGTGCATGCATGTGCGTGCGTGCACACGCATGCGTTTCATAAATTCAATTTGACTATTTATAAAGCAAACATGATTATGCAAACATACACACTCACACACAACCCAGTTTGATATAGTGGTTAAGACATAAGGCTAAAAACTGGGAGATTGACTCAGCCTTCCATCCTTCTGAGGTAGGTAAAATGAGGACCCGGTTTGTGGGGGCAATAAGCTGACTTTGTATAAAAAAGAACACCACTTAGGAGGGGCCAAAAAGCCCTACTAAGCAGGTATATACAAAAGTATGAAGGCTATTGCTTAATGCATTGTAAGCCGCCCTGAGTCTCCGGAGAAGAGCGGCATATAAATCGAACTAATAAATAAATAGATTCTGAGTTCTAGTCCCATCTTATCCACAAAGTTAGAGACCTTGGACCAGTCACTTTCTCTTAGCCCTGGGAAGGAGACAAGGGCAGAATGCTTCTGAAAAAAATTGCCAAGAAACTTGGCAGGGGCTTCTCCAGGCAGTCTCTGAGAATCAAACATGATTGAACGAAAATATATGTGTACACAGACAGAGATACACAGCAGAGAGAGCCAGGATCAAACTAAATTTGATTTGATTTGTTGTTTTACTGTCTGTTCTGCACTTAGTTGGAACTGCATAATAAAAGTACTGCTATTATGAATCTATAGAGGATGCCTTGGTTTCAATTGCAACCTTTCCAATGTGTTTCTTTAAAACTTCTCACAAGTGAAGGCAAATATACACGTCCCAGGATAATGTTGCAGGATCCAATCTGGGTCACCAGGACCAGAGGTTTAGCCTTCTGAGCTTTCAGACTCGTGCTGGAGCCCATCTTCAGGGAACTTCTCTGTGGGCTTTGGGCTGTTCTGTGTGGTGTTTATATGGTGCCTGGTTGTGTGTGGCTTTTTAGCTGTTGAGAAGTTTTAAACCTTCTTCATGGTCTTTTCCCACAGAGTATCCCAAAGCAATTCAAATTTTAAGAGAATAGTTAAAACTGTTAAAGCAAAACCATTTTGCAACAGGAGAAAGAAAAGAGATTTTGAAAAAAAAAGAAACCCGACACTATTATTAGCCACAAAGTGGCTTGGGTGAAAATTCAGGTTTTCAAATGTCCATGGAGATTCTCAATCATTATGGTTGTCCCAAAGGTGCTTTTTTCAAGAGGCAACTGGACTTTCTGGTTTTTCTTTAAAGACGTTTCACTTCTCATCCAAGAAGCTTCTTCAGCTCTGACTGGATGGTGGGGAATGGAAGAATTTATACTCCTTGCAGACAGCTGGTCATTTGCATTCTTTTAGAGGCCACTTGCAGATGTTATCTGTGTCCTCAGGGTCACCTGAGTGGTGCAAATGGGTGTGGAGCCTTCTTGGAATTGTTGAAAGGACTGTGTTGTAGACTGGAGAAAGATGATGTCCTATCCCTCCCCTCTGTTGAGAAGGGGATGTTCAATTTTGACACAGATGGCCTCTCTGACCCTTCTTTCAAGCCAGTGGTCCTCTCTGTCAGACAGATTAACAGAGTTGGAAGGGACCTTGTAGGTCATCTAGTCCAACTCCCCGCTCAAGCAGGAGACCCTATGCCATTTCTGATAAATGGCAGTCCAATCTTTTCTTGAGTCTCAAGTGATGAGGCTCCCACAACTTCCGAAGGCAAGCTGTTCCATTGGTTGATTGTTCTCACTGTCAGAAAGGATGAATCTCTCCTTGGCCAGTTTCCATCCATTATTCCTTGTTTGGCCTTCAGGTGCTTTGGAAAACAGCTTGACCCCTTCCTCTCTGTGGCAGCCCCTCAAATATTGGAAGACTGCTATCATGTCTACCCTGGTCCTTCTCTTCACTAGACTAGCCATGCCCAGTTCATGTAACCATTCGTCATATGTTTTAGTCTCCAGTCCAGTGGTGGGTTGCATCCGGTTCACACCGGTTCTATAGAACTGGTAGTAAAACGGGGGGGGGGAGGGAGGAGGCTCCGCCACTGAACCTGACCTTATCAAAATGCTTCTGCACATGTGCAGAAGAGCACACGCATGTGGCCCCATTGCAAACCGGTAGTAAAGGTAAACAGAACCCATCCCTGCTCCAGTCCCCTAATTATCCTGGTGACTCTCCTCTGCACTTTTTCTAGAGTCTCAACTTTGCTGTCTTCGAAAGGGTGGCCTTTGCCTTTTAAATGCAGATGCTTGAATCTTGTCCTGATGGGTTTGTCCTCCTATGTTGTGCCATGCGGGTTTTCAGCCAGTTCTCCTCCTGAGTAAACCTTCCCCCCCCCCACGTGATATCCACGTCCTTCCAAGACCCACAGCTTCCGAAAGCGAGCAATTCTGGTCCCTGCTCGCTAGGAGGCGCCCTGACTCCGGCCGCGCGGAAAACCAGGCTCCCAGAAGAGCCGCTGCAAAGCCCGGCGCTGCGCTTTTGCAAAGCTGCGGCAGCTGGAGCGGGAGCGGCGCCGGTTGGCTGTCGGCTGTGCCGCGGCCCCCAGCCCGAGAGAAGGCGCGCGGCTGACATGAGCCAGGCGGCCGCCGAAGGGGGAGCCGCAGCCTCCGGAGGCCGCCCCTCGCCGCCCGCCTCCTCCTCCTCCTCCTCCTCCGACTTCCCCGCAATCGACGGCTGGGCGGCGGAGCTGATCGCGGACGCCGCCGAGGACGGAGAGCCGCGGCGGAAGGCGGCAGCGGAGGAGAGGGAGGCCGGCGGGGCTCGGCCGCTCGCTTACTGTCTGCCCCCTGAGACCGGGAAGGAGGTACGGTGGGAGGCTGCTGGGGTGGCCATGTAGAGCGGAGCATTGTAAGAGGTGGGGGAGCCCCTAGGCATCCTTAGGGGTTTGTGCACCTGGGGGGAATCCTTGGGAAGGGAAGGAGATGCTTGGAGAGGGCCGCTGGATTCCCACGACCTACCGAATCCCAGGTTAGCCTACCGCGTTTTAGTTGAGCGTGTTGTCCGAACTTTAAAGCCCCTGTGCCTTATTCCGTGGATTGTGCAAATCCACGACGCTGAGTTCCTTGGGGTTCGTGGGTCGTATGGACGCAGCTCAGAGCCAGGAACTGGCACCGAGGATGTGGAATAACGAGGCAATCTGCAGAGTGGCAGGCAAGGCAGCTAAAGGATGTGAAAGGCATCCTTTACACCCGTGCCACTCTTGTGGGTTTTTGCCTCTGCTTGTTCTTGATTTTGTTAAGGGATCACTTTACCTCTGGAAGCAGTTACTCCACAGTGCAATGAAGGCATCCCTATATAACAATATAAATGATCCAATACTTTAAAAAGCAAACAAACAGTGATTAACTGTTGGGTGAGAACATTACCTGTTGGTCTTCCTCGATCTTTCATTAGTATTTTGATCCACTGTATCCTTGGGAATCTTTGAGCTGGAATTGCCTGCATGCTTTTTTTCTTAAACTGTCTCCAATCTTTTGAGGTCAGTCAGCCTGTAGATTCATATTAAGTATCATAAGTTTCTCTTCTGCTTCAGTTCAATATGTAAATAAAATGGAGAAAGGGGAGACAAGGGCAAAGGTCCCATCAATATTGTGAGGCCACTGCTTGGCCTGTAAATATTTAATTGGGAAATGTAATTTTAGATGGGATTGACTTATTCCCTGGAGGATACAAGGTTAGGTTATATCTATATTCCACTTAATGTTCAAACTCTGTTTAAAATATTGATATTAGTATCCAAAGAGTTAAATTACTGAACATCATTTGCATCTGTGGGCTCATTTGGCTGTTAGCAACAACAGGCACAAGGAATAGGCCTTTCTTATAGAGTTCACTTTCTGCCCAGTTTTAGCTAAGGCATTGAAAACTTTTTTCCAAGTTCTTTTTAAAGGCTGTTTAGTTTGTTGTGCTAAATTTATTTTTAATGGGCTGACTTTCTGAATATCTGAGCTGTGAATATTGTACTATTAGCATCCGAAAGTATTTTCAGTTGACAGAATTTCTTGATAATGCGAATTGCAAAAATTTGCATTGTTAGCATCCAGTTTTATACATTAAAAAAAAACAACAACGGAAGAGTGTCATATAAGAGAATAGTGGGTTTAAAAACTTAATACCCAAAGTAAAGAACAGGCCCATTAATAAAGTACTGTACTTGAATTATATTTCTTACCTCTCACACACACACAAATAGGAATGTCTTAAAACATTTCAACGTAGTTAAGGATTTTCAGGGCACCTAGTTTTATTGCAGTATATTGGAAGTGATCTCTTTTGAACAAAGCACAACTTTTTTTTATGTTGGTGTCTCTTGGGGAGAGTTGAATAGATTGTTGAGATTTGTATGAATCAGCAGCACAATGCTGAAATTGGATTATTGAGAATAATTTTGTAAATATTTATTGTGTGTGTGCATAGAACAAATATAAGCAAATGTATGCGAATTTTCCAGTTTTAAATTTTGTAACGTAATAGAGAAAATCTGTGTGGCCACTAACAGTTAACACTAACTTGATGGTAAATAATCCAAGTCAAATGTATATAAGATTTAATTTAATTCAGATTGAATTGAATTTTTAAAGATCTTTAATGTAGTATTTAAAGTAACAGTGTTAATAAAAGGAAAAGTATGAGAAAAAATAATAAGACACACATGATTAATGAAATGAAAACAGTACTTTTGCCATACATTTAAGAGCTGTTGTATGTCTCTATACATATGAAGGTTATCCAGAACAAACGATGTAAGGAACAATAGAGAGAATTTATACTGTTGTTTTTTTTTTTAAATTTGATTTATATGCCGCCCTTCTCCGGAGACTCAGGGCGGCTTACAATGCGTTAAGCAATAGCCTTCATACTTTTGTATATTTTATACAAAGTCAGCTTATTGCCCCCACAAACTGGGTCCTCATTTCACCTACCTTAGAAAGGATGGAAGGCTGAGTCAACCTTGAGCCTTGGAGAGATTCAAACCAGCAGTAAATTGCAGGCAGCTGTGTTAATAACAGGGTGCTTAGACCACTGTACCAGCAAGGCTCTGTTGGAATTTCATGCTGCTGGTTAAATCAAAGTCTTCTGTAGTCTGATACTACCATAGTAGATGTGAACAGTTTGACTTGGGGCTGGGAAGGCTGAACTGAACAGAGCAACTGAATGAGGTTATTCTACACTTTGCCTCAGTCTACATTTTGTCCCTGTGACTTGGTTCACAAAGCAGACTTATTATTTGCTACTTCATAAATAATAATTTTCCCAGAATAAATTCAATGAACTTCAACTGACACCTCATGAAGAGACTTATTCAGATGTTTAAATGTGTGTGTGTGTTTAGAGTCAATAAATTATCTCCCTCAAGACTGTTAAGAGCAAGATAAATACCTGAATTAGAGCATCAGTTTTCTCCTACTTTGTTTTTTATAATAGCATCAATACTGTTTTATGTGCTCAGATTAGCCCAAGGGAAGAAAATGTCAGGTTTGGTTTTGCTAATCCTTAAGAGTCCATGCTATCTACTGCTGGGTGATGACTGACACTCTTAACTTTTGTCATGTTTGTTTATGATTGTGGAATAATGGCTACTAAACTTCCATGCCTCGGTTAATAAAAACAATCTAGCATAATTGCTTTTTTTTTAAAATTTGATTTATATGCCGCCCTTCTCCGGAGACTCAGGGCAGCTTACAATGCGTTAAGCAATAGCCTTCATACTTTTGTATATTTATACAAAGTCAGCTTATTGCCCCCACAAACTGGGTCCTCATTTCACCTACCTTAGAAAGGATGGAAGGCTGAGTCAACCTTGAGCCTTGGAGAGATTTGAACCAGCAGTAAATTGCAGGCAGCTGTGTTAATAACAGGGTGCGTAGACCACTGTACTATCAAGGCTCTTTTGAACATGTCTGTTATGCCCCATTCAAAGCAAAATACAAGATGTCATAAGCTTAACTAGCTTGGGTTGGTTTAGATATTCTATAATTAACTACATGAATTTAGCCACATTTATGCCAAAGTAAACCATCTTTAAATAGGATTTTCCCCTAGTAATTAGGTTAAGTCAATGGTGAAATCCAATTTTTTTTTACTACCGGTTCTGTGGGCGTGGCTTGGTGGGCGTGGTGTGGTGTGGCAGGGGAAGGATACTGCCAAATCTCCATTCCCACCCCACTCCAGGAGAAGGATACTGCAAAATCCCCATTCCCTCCCCACTCCTGGGGGAAGGATATTCCAAAGTCTCCATTCCCACTCCACTCTGGGGCCAGCCAGAGGTGGTTGGTTCTCTGAACTGCTCAAAATTTCTGCTATCGGTTCTCCAGAACCTGCTGGATTTCACCCCTGGATTAAGTGGACATGTTTGTGAGGCTACTTTTAAATACAAATTTATAAGGTAGAGGTAAAGGTTCCCCTCGCACATACGTGCTAGTCGTTCCCGACTCCAGGGAGCAGTGCTCATCTCCGTTTCTAAGATGAAGAGCCAGCTTTCTGATGATGATTCCGTGATCATGTGGCTAAATGCCAAGGGCACACGGAACACTGTTACCTTCCCACCAAGGTGGTCCCTATTTTTCTACTTGCATTTTTACATGCTTCCAAACTGCTAGGTTGGCAGAAACTGGGGCAAGTAATGGGAGCTCACTCTGTTACGTGGCTCTAGGGATTCGAACCACCGAACTGCTGACCTTTCTGATCAACAAACTCACCATCTTAACCACTGAGCCACCGCATCCCCAAATTTATATGAACAGATTTATTGGGCTTGTTGCCTGGGAATGACTTGTTGGTTGTTCAAGATTGTGTAACTTCTCACTTTCCCTTCTAATCTACAATCTAGAGCAGTGGTGTCAAACTAACGGCATCACGTCATGTGATGTATCACGACTTTTTTCCCCTTCGCTAAACCGGGGCTGGGCATGGCCAGCACGTGATGCATCCAGCCCGTGGGCTGTGACTTTGACACCCCTGATGTAGGGAATTTCTGGTAATATTTAATCAAAGCTAACCAGTTCCAGTACTGCTTAACCAAGTGAAAGAAAAGTGAACATATAAAGCTTTAGGCACAAAGTTTATTTCCTGTTTATTTTACAGATGATGGATGAACCCAAAGTGAATATTTCAATTAGGGATGTAAAATAATTTTGCTGCGGGTTACACTGAATTTGTGGGTTCTGGAGAATTTGTGTGTTCTGCTTCTGCCAGACTTCATAATACCATTATTTGTTTTTCAGCAAAAATAAGCAGAAAATCTGTATATGAAAAGAAGGTACAGTATATTATGGAAAGTAGTATACAAATAGTAGTAAGTAGTCAAAAATTACACTGAAGAAATGTGTATAGAAGAAGCCTGCACTGGAAAATTGTTAAAGACCAGGTCCTAACCATGGCTTAGGACCTGGTTACTTACGGGACCGTCTACTACCACCAATAGCCTCCCACCGGCAGGTACGCTCTCATAGAGAGGGGCTCCTCCGGGTGCCGTCAGCCAAACAATGTCGACTGGCGGCCCCCAGGGGGAGAGCCTTCTCTGTGGGGGCACCTACTATCTGGAATGAGCTCCCCCCGGAGATATGGAGGATCCCGGATTTGCGCACCTTCGGCCGCGCTCTCAAGATCTTTTTATTCCACCAGGCGGGCCTGGCCTAATCTTTTTCCCCTTTTTCTCTTTTAATACGTAAATTTTAATCTGTTTTTAAATGATTGGGGTGTTTTAAATCTGTCTGGGCCAAATTTGTTTAATTCGGTTTTATTCTGTTTTTTAAATTTTGTATTTATGTATTTTATTGTTTGGCTGTTCACCGCCCTGAGTCCTTCAGAAGTAGGGCGGTATATAAATCAAATAAAGACTAAAGACTAAAGAACAAAAACAAGATAAATTATATTGTCCAAAAATTAATTAGTACTTATATCAGAGAAAGAATATGTTAGGAAATGTTGTGAATGTAAGTAACAATGAATTTTTTGTGGATTTTTTTGAGTTCTGCCATATTAACCTGAATAGCAAAGTAAATGGAATTTTAGTGATCTCCTTAGTTAGAACATTGAACATAAAACATAGAATCATAGAGCTGAAAGGACCTCAAAGTTCTTCTAGTCCAACCCTCTGCTCAAGGCAGGAGACCTTATATTATCCCGCTCATATGGTTGTCCAGTCTGTTTTTGAAAACCTCCAGTGATGGATGTGCTTGAGTAAGATCTAAGTGAGAATAATCTCCTGAAGAAGTATGTTCTTAATTCCTTCTTGAAAAAAACAGTCTGTGCTTCCCCCCCCCCCTGGTGGATTTGATTTAAATCGAGTTGATTTAAATCACTAGTAAAAAGGCTTGATTTAAATCAACTCGATTTAAATCATAATTTTTAAAGAGCAACTGTCATCTCTGCTACTCCTTTGACCCACTGTTGACTCACCGATAGTCCCAGTGTTGCAGAATATACAGCCTCATGCTACATAACTAAGCTCCATTTCATGCTGAATAAACTAAATTATTTATGTATCTAAAATAGAAAACTATCTTACGATAGATTTTTACCCCCAAAGTTTTTTATTAAAATAAATTCGATAAAAATCAAAAAAATCCGATTTAAATCAAAAAATCTGATTTAAATAAAAAAAATCTGATTTTTTTTATTTTTTTTAAAAAATCATTGATTTTTATCCACCCTGCCCCCCAAGTTTATTATCAATGTAACAAACTGTATTAATAAATATAATCAATAAAACTGCAAACTTAATACATTTGTGCCTGCTACAGTAACTGTTTAATTTGAATTCATGTCACACAGGGGATGAGGACAAATGTCAGTTTTGAATTCCAAATTTGCAACTGACCCAAATTACATAATATGGATCATTTGCTTGATAGTGTCCTTAACAATGAGCAATATTTTCTGCCTTTAGTTTTTCTTGTTTGGTGTAAATTAGTTCCTCATGGTGGCATGGCAATAATCAGTTTCACTTTAACAGAAGAAAGTGATAATTGAAATCCCATGGAGTCGAAAATGAAATGCTGGCTTAGCATTTACATTTCTGCAATAACATTTCTGAACATATTTTAGAGTGCTCTTATCTATCAGAAGGGCATTGCCAAATATTATAGCACTATATTGGGCTACCTGGAAACATAATTTTATTTCTGGTTCTCTCTGATTTTAGGAAAACACTGCAGAATTTAAGGTCTTCCCTGAAGAAGTAGTGTTTCAATCCATTTTCTCGAACACTGCCATTCAGAAGGCCTATCGCTTCAGAGATTAGTAGAGATAATGCCCAAATATGTTTATGTAGTATATTCTGTAAATTTAGCCCACTGTCTATCTGAAATCTCAGAAGGAGTATCAATTTAAATGTTTTTAAAATAAACAAGATGAATTATTGAAAATACTTTGCTCATGTCTTTATATATGTCCTTCTTTGTGTTTTGAATCAATACAGAAATATCAAAAGACAATTCTCGACTAATACATATTGAGCTACATCATAGATTTGTCTCAGTCCTTCACAGACTCATAATTTAAATTCTAAAAGGAGTTTATTTAAATGTCACAGATTTTTGCAAGGCTGTTATTGACAAGAACTTAAGGCGTATATTTATGCCATTTGTTATCATGTTCATTTTCTAAATTGTATGCAGTTATAAGCACAATATAATAGTTTGGCGGTTGCAGGGCTACCAATAAGCAATGGGTGTGGGTGAACAATTGTCATATGTAAAGTGTTCCTAAACATCCTGCCTGCCTGTGGAAAGGCCACCAGAGGAAATAAGGAGAATATGATGTAATGTTTATGTAAGGCCTGTTCCTTGAAATATTAGAAGAGATGATTTCAAGTGATAGTCTGTGACCTAAAAAGTGAAATATAACTCTGATAATAGGGATTATTTAAGGCTTTTAAAGGTGGTGTTGAACTTTACAGAAATTCAGATAGATAGATAGATAGATAGATAGATAGATAGATAGATAGATAGATAGATAGATAGATAGAAATATGTATGTGTGTTTATGTATGTAAAAAAATATGTCCTGAAATACAGAAGAAAGCAAAAATATTTAATTTTGTAATCATAACTTTTAATAGAGTAGAAATACTATAACAGAGGTAGTCCTTGACTTACTTTATGGTGATTAGCAACTGTTTGAGGTTATGAAGGAACAAAAAAAGTTCAAGTTCTGACAGCCACCCCATTACCCAGCAGCCACCCCGAAGTCACATCGTATTTTGAGGGTACTTGGCAACCATCCCATATTTATGGCTGTTTGCTGTGTCCCACTGTCCCATAATCATGATATATGATTTTTTTGCCACAAGTTGGCATGTATTTCCAGTTTCTGCAGACAGTGGGTTCACTTGACTATGGCATTCAATTAATGATAGCAGATTCCCTTAGATTGCTGCAAAAAGATGTCATAAAATCAGGTCAATCAGAGGATGACCCTCTTAATGACTTGCACGTCTTATGACCGCAATGGCAGCCTTGCTTCCGGTCATAATTCAAGGATTACCTGTAGTGATCAAGTAGGGGAAGAAAACAGTTTTAGAACAAATAGTGATGATGGCATAGGAATCAGGAATCCATCATGAGTGTTTCCACTCATAATTCTAACCAAGATTTTCTAAAACATGGTTTGTTGGATAAATGATAGTGATCTGGCTTGTACATAAGCCATAATGGATGATACCACACATCGTGTTAAGCTTAAAATACACGAACTGTTTTAAAGGCGCTGTTTACTTTAAAAAAAGATAACACTTGATAGAGTACCTAGTTATACTAGGAGTATCTATTTTAATTCACTTCAGATACATAGTATTTTCACCTTTTAATAATGCTTCAACAATCATTTTGAATAATCTTTCTTAACCTCATCCAAAATTGAAAGGCACCAGGTTGCAGAAGATCACCAAAAGATAATAGATTCTATTTTATTTCATGTAGAATTCTCACCATCAGATTTAAAGAAAATGTTTCTGTTCTATAAACATTCCAAATTTATGCTAGGCCAAAGGAAAGTAGTTTGAAATTTGCAGCAGTTAGCTTTTTCTGTCACTTTCCTTTCCAAAACATGAAGTAATTGGAAAATTATGTGATTTTACTGCAGATTATGTTACATGTTTCTTTGAAATGGTATTATGAGAGAAAGGACAATTGTTAAAAATTTAACCATGTATTATTTCAGATTCGCTCAAAGACCAACAACAACAACAATTTATTATTACAGTCTTAGACCAGAGACGCTCAAAGACCATTTTATTCAAATTCCAATAATCACTGTAAATTGGGGAAGTTGTTTCAAACAGATTCTTAGATAGTGAACTCCATCACCTTAAATGGACTTTCACCAACAAAATGCTTTCTGCAAAGAGACTGGGTTGCTGTGATATTGGGAAGGATCCAAGCAAGAAAAATTTTGCATGCTTGTCATCGAGAAAAAACATGGAGAATCAAGTTTGTCAAGCATGGCATTTTTTTTTTAAAAAAAAAATGCATTCTGTATGTAGGTTCACATAATTTAATCTGAAATAGAAAAAATTGTGTTCAACTGTCAGAATTTAATTTTGTTAAATAAGTCAAGTCATTCAAATTTTGGGATACAAAGGATGTTCTCACTTTGCAGGGGTAGTAATTTTAAATTATCTTTTTATTTTCAGATGAAAGCAGTAGAAGAATGTATAGAAGAGATGTTAATAAGGCTGGATGAGTTCTGTGGTATGACTGATATGGTATGTTTAGCTTCTGAAGACCTTGGAGAATCTAAATACTTCCTCTTTATGTTATCTCCTCTGGAGGCCATCTTGAGAGTGATTTAGAAACAGCAGCTCAGCTGCAGTGAGCTGTGTGGGAAGAGGGAGCTACAGGACTTTCTCTCTTCTCTCACACACACTCCAGTGAGCGAGCCCGCACACACATACACATGCTCACATTCTTCCTGAGGCAGCCATCTTGATAACAACCTTCTCTGAAATGGCTTTTATTACTGAGAATAGTGATGGTTAAGCCACAAGGTGGCACCATGGTGCACTAATACTTACGGGCCTAGACAAGTGCTCTTTACTTGTAAATTTTATGTGCACCATTCTTACCTGCATGCATAGACACAATAAGGAGCTCTGCTCACAGATGTCTCCTTGTGGATGCTTGAATACCGTATGAAAGGTTCCCCATATTAGTTCTAGAGAGAATTTTTGCATACACTACCCAAGATTTCCCCTCTGTGTTTCAGTGGAGAAGATAACCTAATGCCATGAAGTTGATCATTGTCCAAAGGTCATCTTGGAAAGTGGCTGTGGACTTTTTACTTAGGACCAAAAAAACCCGCCAAAATTCCCAAGAGGCCCACTGATCTTGTGTCATGAAAATTGACTACAGTACTTTGCAACTGGTGATTTTAAATAAAGGTATTGATACAGTCCTGTACGTATCACCTGTGCAAATAACAGCATAACTTCACCTGGTGGTTCTCTGCAGTGTCTTTAATCAGTGCTTTGCATTGCAATGATTTGTGGGGCCCTTTTTAATCATTGCATTCTAATCCATGATAAGTAAGGTGTGACACACATCAGCTTAGTTTACAAACAATAATGCTTAAAAGGCTGATAAAACACTAACAGAGTTGGAAGGGATCTTGGAGGTCATCTAGTCCACCCCCTGCTCACGCAGGAGACCTGTACTAGGGATTCGAACCGCCACACTGCTGACCTTTCTGATCGACAAACCTCAGTGACTTAGCCACTTGAGCCACCTAGTCCCATTCCAAAGAGCATTATATATTTATCAAGTATGTAGTACATTGTCAAAGGGTAACTTGCCTAAGTATATATAAATTGTTTTCATAAGTATTCAGATTCTGCCGTTTCAGATTTTTCTCCTCCAGTTGTAATCAACAAAATATTTAAGGTTACTTTCCTGGGAATTATTGATTTCAAGGACATATGTTTCTGCATAGATAATGGTAGAATTACAGTATGTCTGTTAGTGTCTCGCCTTGTAACTTTGTCATCTTCTTGTTGTTTTCTTTGCTTGTATCCAAGAAACAGGCAATTACTTTTATTATGTTTTTATTGATTTTAAAAATTTTACAGTCTGCAGTTCAATATATTGTAGTACATTAGAATAATAATGGTTAAACAGAACAAAAGCGTGAAATACAGCTTTTTTCAGCAATACTGAAAAAAGAAATATTAAAAGCTTAGAACTCAGAAATAATATGATTTCCTGATGAGTCTTCTCTGCATGGACAATGTCTTTGAGACTTTACCTATATTATGTTTTTTGAATAAGATACATTTTGTTCTAATGAGATTTTTTGACTGGTTAACAATCCAAAATCATTTCAATAGATTCAATAAATATTCAGATTTCCCAGAAAACTTTTTATCTAGCCTCTTCTAGAAAAAGAGGACCAACTAATTTCATTTGATCCTCATTAATTGGAAGATTTAAAAGATAAAGTAGAGCCAGTGAGAGCTTTGAACAGGGTAACAAATAATGTTCATGACTTGAAAGAACAGGAGTTAATAAATTCAAAACAAAAGTATAATTCAATGGCAGGAGAAGCTCATGGGAAAATTCCTCCAACATGTAATGTTATAAACATAATTTCAAACAATTCCAATGGTGGAAAGAAGTAGAAGGTATCAGAAGCCACCGAATCTACAATACAGAAAAAAAAAATAGCAACATAACAAAAAAATGGTTTAATATGTTATTACATTACTATAGTTATCATTACCTTATCCTGCCTTTTTAATTTTTTGAGTAAATTCAAGGAAGCAAGCACTACTCCTGCCTCTTATTCTCCCCACACCAACTCTTCCTTGTGGTAATTTATTTTTTATTATTTATTACATTTCTACACTACCCATTTCACATAAGTGATTCTGGGTGGTTTGCAGACGAATTACAGAAGAATTGAGTTTGGAAATCATCTATTGGCTGCTACATTTTCTTTTGCATAGATCTACGAAAAGTTTGCAATTTTCCACAAGAAACTATAGTGAGTCCACATGTTGTATGTGGTTTTACTTTTAATGTGGCACCAAGGGGATTTCTGCAAGGACTTAACCTGTGTTTTTTTTTAAAGGATCCTATTTCGGCAAAGGTGTGCATAAAAAAGAAAAGTATTTGCTGCACATTTCTTTCCTTACAAAATTCCTTTCTCTAGGAGAGGGAAAACTAAGCATAATTGATAGTTAATATGGAATGAAAATTCCCAGGAAAAGCCAGGGCTGTAGGCTGGATTGACACATTGATTTAGCATTCTGAGAGAAGACAGTGGTAAACTATTTACCTATTGTTGACCAAAATCCAATATTGAGATGTCTGTGAAGTCACCAGAAATTGGGCTTTATCTAAAGATGCTGTACCTTTTATGGTAAGATGATGTAGACTCTGGATTGGAAGGACAGCAGTTCTTTAGCTTCAGAAAACTTCACATTTTTGTTACATGCATTGTGTTTACTTTGTTTAGCATGTTTACAACAATCAGCTTTTTCTATTGATTCTCCTGTACCCAAATACTAATTATGTTTGTTGTGTGGACAGTTTCTGATTGTATGTTTCCAGAACATACTAATTATTATTTGTTCAATGTGCATATTGCTGTCCTCTGCCCCCAAAAAGGGTGCATTACTTTCCTGAACCAATTTTGTTTTTGTTTTATTGTCAAAGAAGAATGACTGCTCCTATAATACTGTAGGGTTTCCCTTCATCCTTCTTCCCTTCCCTTCCCTTCCCTTCCCCCCTCTATCCTACCTTACCCTACCCTGTCATTTGTCACAAATGATGTCCTGCTTGAGCAGGAGGGTTAGATTAGAAGACCACCAAAGTCCCTTTCAATCCTATTAGTCTATGTTCTATGAGTCCCTATCAACCTTTGTTTGCTGCAGTGCCAGGGTGTCTCTGAATTGTGCACCCAATACTATAGAATTATATTGCTCAGCTGGCAATACTGTAGGTATCCTAACTCTGCCTATCGCTGGATTTAATGCAAGTCTGGAAAAGCAAAACAGTAAATAATGGGTACAACTCTTCCCACCACTCACTCCTAAATAGAATAGAGCAACCTGGAAGCTGATCTGTGTTGTCCTGAAAAAAAGGGGGGGGGGCGGGGAAAGAAAAATCCAAAGTAGAAGCATTGCTTCTGAACATCCTTTGTGATTTCAGTCTGGGTTTGGTCTTTTTTTAGCGTTCTTCAACTACAATAATAACAGAGCAGAGTGTAGAGGAAGAGCACAGAAAGGAATCTAACCCAGAAGATGTAGCCAGAATCCTGGAGCCAGACCCACCCCAGTCCTGCTCCGGTTGTACAGTTGTAGGATGCATTGTCAGCTAATTAGTGATAGGCAGAAGAGGGTGGATAGCAAAGCCAGAATAGATATCAAAGAATTGGTTTTCTCATAACATGCTGCACACAAAAAATCAAAATGGCACCATTGGCAGTGAATCAACAGATGTAATGGAAGCATGCTAAGAATCAGCTGTGGACGGAGAAAATGTATATATTCTTGCAACCTTAAGCTAAAATATGAAACATTCTGTGGCTTACATAGTATGGAGACCTAATAGCTGGTAAAGGAACAAGCTATCAGTGTAGCATAATGGAAGGTAGCTACAGAACATAAAATTCCTAGGAAGGAATTTACTGGTATGTTCATCTATACTGAATTTTCTAAAGGAAAATGTTTGGCACCATATAATACATAAAATGATATTGCTTACAGTATACTAAATATGTTTTTGTATTTATTGACAATGCTTTGTGATAGTGTCTCTTTTCCCTCATGCAGATTAGGAGTGATACATCCATTCTCTTGGAAGAGATGATTCCACTTATTAAGGCCAAAGTTTCAGAAATGAACAATGTCTACACAAAAGTGGATAAACTAGAGGTTTGTTGCTTACATTACAAAGTAAAGTTGGAACAGAAACCTATGTTTTCAAGTAGGTTCTGTTCTGTTGAAGTATTTAAAAAGATTGTTACCATTAAGGATCATCAAACTGTTATCAGAAAACAGGTGAAAAAAAAGTAGATAGATTTTTTAAAATTAGAATTCACTAAAAGCACATGTAAATAATGTAACGTATACCAATCAGAACAATTTTGGATAAATGACACTGTGCATCAGATTACACAACACTACACAGACATGGGAAGAAATTAGGTATGTATTAAAAAAAGGAAATGTAGCTAACTCCAGTTTCAGTATTTACTATATCTCTTTGTAGCTTTTTACCCTTGTAAACCATTTTTGGTTCCACCACATCTTACTACTGTCTTGTGCCTTTTAATGTACTCACATCTTCCTTTTTGAGGATCCCGGCTCAATTCAATGGGACTTTCTCAGTATCCCATTTTCTATCAGGCACTCACTATTCACATGTTTGTTTTATAATTCAGTCCTCATTTATTGTTCCAAAGGTGCTTTTTCAAGAGGCAACTGGACTTTCTGCGTTTTCTTTGAAGACATTTCGCTTCTTATCCAAGAAGCTTCTTCAGCTAAAGAAGCTTCTTGGATGAGAAGTGAAACGTCTTCAAAGAAAAACCAGAAAGTCCAGTTGCCTCTTGAAAAAGCACCTTTGGAACAACCATAACCTGGATGTCTGAGAATCTCCATAGACATTCCTCATTTATTCTTTCTATATGTTCAAGACACATCAATGTATGAATTTCTCTTGAACATTTTCTCTTTAAGTACTAATATAATATTTGTTTCTATTCTACTCTTAGAAGTCACTGTAATTCCCATACAGGTAATCCTTGATTTATGACCACAACTGAGTCCAAATTTCTGTTGTTAAATGAGACATATGTTAAGTGAGCTTTGCCCCATTTTACAACTTTTATTGCCACAGTTCTTAAGTAAATCACTGCAGTTGATAAGTTAGTATCTCAGTTGTTAAGTGAATCTGGCTTCCCCATTGACTTTGCTTGTCAAAAGATCGCAAAAGGTGATCAAGTGACCTTGTAACATAGCAACAGTCATAAATATGAACTAGTTGTCAAGCATCTGAATTTTGATCACATGATCATGAGGATGCTGCAAAGGTCATACGTGTGAAAAACAGTCATAAGTCACATTTTTCAGTATCATCGTAACTTTGGTCTTGAACTAATTATAGCTGAATTATAAAGCCATTTTGCAAATTTTATATAAGATGTCAATATTTTTTTTCACTATGATTTTATATTTTGTTTTCAGATAGAAGGAAATAATGATAAATTTTATTTAAAAAATACTTTAAAAAAATTACTCTCCTCACTTTCTCTCTTATATGTATCCAATATACTAAGTGAATCTGTTTAGACCTGAAAATTATTAGTTGGTATCAAAGGAAAATGACCCAAAGTCTGTCCTTCATAAATGTGGATTTCTCTTTTTTAAAAAAAATCATATTTAAGATATACCTACCTTGAGAAAACGAGAATAGTACAAACTATAGTTTACCTCATGAATTATTCTTTTTTTAAAAGTTACTAACAGCAAACAAGAGAGATCAATATTGTTTCAGTCAATTTAGTACATCAGACATAATTTCAGTACGATCATTGATCACTCACACACACAGACAAATATTCCAGTTGCTGAAAAGTAACTTTGGAAAATCTTTTCAAAATTAAGACCAATTCTTTTGATGACTTAATCTCTGTTTCTGTCTCTTAGGCATTTGTGAAAATGGCTGGCCATCATGTTTCTTTCCTAGAAGAACAAATTCTCCAAGCAGAGAAGACCCATGCTGGATGTCCTTCTTCTATTCAAAAGCTGCTTGGGTCACTAGATTTCCCTTTATTTAAAAAAGTAAGTATGAAAAAAGTTCAGTGGGAAAAAGCCCCTTTGAACAATACTTCCTCTGCCATTTTTCTAAAAAGGATTCCTTTTCAGCTATAGACAATTATTTTCTTTTGGGGGAGGGGCATTTCACAGATTATTCAAAACCTCAGAATTTCTGGGCCTCAAAATACCCAGCCATGAAATCCTCTGACAGTTTCTTTGAACAAGTTCAGTTCAGCTGCATATGCACTACAGAGAAAGCTTATCTATTCCTTAAATCACCATTCTGATTTAAGTTCACAGCAGTTCTGAAGGAGGATCTTGGATTATCCTGATTGTTTTCAACCTGGAAAACAAAATCTTTTGAAGGCTTAAGTAAACGCACTGTGTGAATGTGGGTATTTATGTGTTGGATGTATATCCTGGCCTTCCACTGGGAGCATAAGACAGCATAAACTGTAGTGCGCCTTCATTTATTTCATCAGAACAAGGCTGTGGTCTGTGAACAACTGTCTGGCTCTCCCGCAACCTTCATGTGATGGTGAATTTAAATCCTGGTCCTAATTCAGTACTTTTTCCATTACACTATATATATCATCCTACTCTGTATCCTATCCAGGGGTGGGTTCTACTTACCTTTACTACCGGTTCACAACGGGAGCATGCGCGCATGCACAAAAGCTTCTGGGCATGTGCAGATCGTCAATTATGACATCTGGGTGGGTGGGCGGAGCCTCCTGCCGCTTTTACTACCGGTTCTATAGAACCGGACAGAACTGGGAGCAACCCACCACTGATCCTATCCTATTTGACTGGGCAAATATTTCAGTGAGCAAGGAGACAGGCAGTGAGGAGGGAACCCTGTGTATTGTTTGTTATTTAAATTATTTGAATTCTGTCTTTTAGATAAAGTCTTCAAATGAGAAAAAAAGCATTAAAAACTTAATAGATTACTCAAGTGTCCCAAAATCTGTCAAATAACGCAGTGGACAAAGCTCAAAAACAATATTAGATGGACAGGAGAACAAGGTGTGTCAGTGGTTCTCAACCTGTGGTCTGTGCACCCATGGGGGGGGGCAGGGTGGGTTCTACTTACCTTTACTACCGGTTCGCAATGGGATTGCGTGCATGCGCCTTCTGCGCATGCGCAGATCACTGATGACAACATCTAGGGCGATGGACGGGGCCTCACACCAGTTTTACTACCGGTTCTTGCAAACCGGTCCAAACTGGGGGCAACCAACCATTGGGGGGAGCATACAATGTCATCACAGGGGGTCCATGAAGGCTTGAAGAACTTTAAGATTTAAATCTTAAATCTTGGCGGTCCGTGGCAGGGGTGAAATGCTACCAGTTCACACTGGTTCGAACGCACTGGTAGTAATAAAAGCTACCAGTTCAGGCAAACCAGTAGTTTAAAAAATGGTGGTGCGCACTGTGCATGCACGCGTGCAGCGTGCATTTGGTTTTACCGCACATGCACGCACAGCGAACCAATGGCAAACCTCGGAGGATTTCACCACTGGTCCGTGGCCATGGTCGATGACCACAAAAGGGGGTCCATAGTGGAAAAAAAGATTGAGAACCATTGGGATATATGCTTTCCTGGCTCCCAAAAGAAAGGAAATACATGAGGTGAACGTATCTAGAGGTGAGTCCCATGTTTGGGATGCCTTCCAGAAGAGACTTTATTTCTGATAGGCATCTGTTTTGTATCTGAAATACTGTGAAGAGCCTCCTTAGATTTTGCTTATCAGCCAGATTTGTATGGAGAAGTTGATCTTTAAATCCTGCAATTCAAACTCTTTAGTATTTTAAAGTTCAAAACCAACCTCTTGGCTTGTTAATCAGAATAAATCAGCTACTAGTGGAAATCTTTTAGCACTGGATTAATATGTTCTCAACAGTCATTGTTGCTTAATACTTTTTTTTAAAGAAAAATCTCAGATATAATGAATTGCAATGGTCTGGTTTGAATTTTACCAGGGTATAGATATAGATATTGCTGGATTAGATCTATGACTGAATAAATTTCTGTTTAATTGCTTCTAGAAGCAAATTTGATTTGCTTGCCTTTTTAAAACAAATGGAACTTCTTGGTGTAGAAAAGCTTGAATATAAATCTCTTGTAGCAATTATATATGAAAGGTATTTTCCCACAATTGTAGCAATTCTTAAAGACGTGAACGTATGTGTTTTTTTCCTATTTGAATTTTAAAACACATTGTTAAAACATCACAAAATGTTTCAGAATTAAAACGCTAGAAATTAAAACTTTCCAGAGTGCCATTCTTGTAATGTCACTGTTGGTATATGAACATTTAAAAGTGTCTTACAGTTTTAGTTTTATTATACGACTTATATTCAAACAACAATTTCATATACTTTGAGAACAATACCTAACAATAGAAGTTGAAAATAAAGTTGCGTCTAAAAAATAAAAATGAAATCCCTGTCCTAGGATGTTGTAATGCAAAACTTACTTAACCACTGTCTTGCTTAGCAATATAAATTTTGGGCTCAGTTGTGGTTCGCAAGTCGAGGACTACCTGTATTTAGAAATCCCAAAATAATTTAACTTGCCTGTTTTTGACTACTTTTTCAATTGTATATTCTCGCCAATTTTTTATTACTGGCTATTGATAATTTTTACCGATGTTCCCAGTGAATCACTTCGGTAAATGTTGCTATTTTAATCATTTTCTGATCATTTGCGATCGTCCTGCACGAGCTGATGTATGATCAACTTTGGATGGATAATTATTATTAAATTATTTAATAAATTATTTTCAATTATTTTATTATTATCATTGCCATCGCTATAGTGCGGTTTAAATCAGTGTAAGAAAAAATATTCTGGGGAAAAAAATTTGGCAATGAATGAGCTCCCTTCCTAAATATATTGGAACAGACTTGCATGGATTGGAAAACTTTACTTCATCCCTGTGTCCTGATCTGGTTTGTGAGCTGGGTTTCGCTTTCCTGTCTGTCCCCCCCCCCCCTCCCCCCACCAAGCCTCTGTTTGGGCCTCTGTTAATCTCTTCTTTCATTTTTGTGGTTGAGTGATGCAGCTACTTTAGGTCAAACCAGATTATTTATGCTTTTGGATACCATTTTTAAAATAGTATACGCTGTCTTCCAGGAAAAAGAAGCAGGACTCTGTTAATTTTTTAAAATATCACAATTTAACTATTTTTTTAGTCGGGGGGAATTTTGAGGGGGTAAATATGTGAATGGGAAAGTCTGTGTGTGGGTACAAAGGAAGTAACAAAGTTACAAAAGAATGAAAACAAGATAAATGAGCATGCAAAGATATAAAAAAATAATTCTAAATAATTGTTTTATCATATTGGTCTGTTCCTTGAGATGGAGTTTGAGATATATTTTTAAGAAGTAATTATACAATAAAAGAAAGAAAGCACTGAGAAGCTTTTGGAATTATTTAAATTTTGATGTAGCTTTTTCCAGTGAGTAAATCTCAAAATCTGCCTTGGAATATTGTAGACTTTAAGGTGTCTTAAATTTGCCAAGGTTGGGAAGCATTGGGGTGACTGTAATATTGCATTAAGAAGGACATAACTAGTTAGGACAACTTGTAGAGGAGAAAGGATCGTGTTGATAAATGCAAAATCCTAGCAGGGTATAAAGGAATACCCAGCACACTGATCAGCCAGCAGAGTAGCAGCACTGCTGGAGTTTGGAGGCCATTGGGGACTAGTTTTTCAGCTTGAAGATAGCAATGAATTCATTATTTTTGAAAATGGCTAGCCACATGTCGTGCAGACCTGATTTAGAGGCACTAGAATATATACAGTAGGCTGGGCCTGTCTTTAGCTCAGTTTGCTGTTACCTATTTCTGTAACTTTCTTATTTTTATTTATTAATTGTATATGCCACTATCTTGCTTTCCAGTGCAACTCCAGAGGTTTACAATGCAATAGAAATATAAATATAAACACAATTTATAAATATTACAAATTTAAAATTTAACTTTAAATTATAAACTTAAAGAGTTAAATGCAGACTGAAAACCAAGGGGTCCTTGGTGCTCTCTGAGGTTGGTGTTTTTCTTACAGATGGTTCATTACCAAATCGGGTAACATCGTCAGCACAGAAGATATTACCTAATTTGGTAATGAAATGTCTGTAAGAAAACAGCCAACTTCAAAGACCACCAAGGACCCCACAGTTCAACCCTGAGCTACAACTATTCTCTTCTCTCAGTGAAAACCAGGGCCTCGAGTGGTATGGAGGTACCTTCTCTGTCACTGAACAACCATCTCCAGTCTAGAGTGCCTTCATTAGCGCTCCAAGCCAACTGGCAGAGCCAGGTTTTAAGACTGTTCCGGAAGGCCAGAAGGGTGGGGGCAGATTTCAACTCTAGCAGCAAGCTGTTCCAAAGGGTGGGGGCTATGGCAGAAAAGTCTCTTTTCCTAGATCAGTAATAGTGAACCTTTTCGGCACAGAGTGCTGAAAAGGGAGTGCATGCGTGAGGCACCAAGTGCCGAAAAGGGAGCACTTCGCGCATGCTCGTCAGGGCCACAACCAGGAAGAGGAGGGGGGCATGCACATGCTGGATAAGGTAGTTCCAGCAAGCAAGTCTTCTGGTTACTGCCGTGCATGCACACTCGCCAATCAGTTGGCCGGCACGCATGCTCATGCCGGAAAACAGAAAACCAGCTCTTCCAGTTTCCGGCACTGCTGCACAAAGCCCAGCTGATTGTTGCGTGCATGTGCACGCGTGCACCAAAAACCCGGAAGAGGAACGGGCGACGCCACACATGCCAGGCGACCTGGCTCCGTGTGCCACTTTGGGCACGCGTGCCATAGGTTCACCATCACGGTCCTAGATCCTTCCACTAAAATTCCTTGACTGACAGAGTCCATAGCAGGTCACTTCTTTCAGAACGAGTGGGGCAAGCCAATCCATTCGGTCAAGATGGGTCTTCAGATATTCTGGACCCATGCCATAAAGGGCTTCGAAGGCGATAATTAACACCTTTTTTTTTTTAATTTGATTTATATGC